AGGGGTCTATATAAATGCATACAGGGGTCTATATAAATGAGTACCCCTGTAAAATACGCTGTCAGGTGCTGAAACAACTCTTCGGAGCACAAAGTACTTACGACAAATGAGGACATGTTCAAACCTGGGGTGACCGGCATCAATTTACACTGCACGGAATTCTAGTTACGGGCGTTCCTCCAATCATCGTTTAATAACTTAATTTGTCCGTGCATGTGGCTGGAAGCAAGAAACGAAGTTACGCAACAGGAACGCCTTTCTAGCTATAAATAATGACAGGCCTGTCGCAGGAATTGGACACACTATCCTAAGGCATTGCTGTATAGTCCTAAGCTGTCAATGAGAACGATCCTCGCGAGGGGCATATGTAAGAGTGTTTTGAAAGCAAATTGAGGAAGGGGTAACAATCAGGTGTAGCAAGTACGGTAAGGAGGATGTCGTTATCGAAACAGATGCTGCAACTAGGGTTTTATGAGGCTTAGGAGCGCGTCAACCCGTCACGATACCTCCATCGTCACAAAGGTCTGTGTACGGTTGTGTCGGCTTGGTATTGCTACGCTAAATCCGACACAAACGCCTGACTGGAGACGCTGATGCGTTCAACCGAAAAAAAAACCGGTTCGACCAGTTCGTAAACATACGGATGGAGTCCTTTGATATTCAATAGTCCGGGGAACTTGTGCATCGATCTCATCAGATCAGCCGCCACAACTTATCGCGCATAAACAGACACAATTCTCAGTACCGGTGAAACCAACCAGATGGGGCGACGTGACCGCCATGTGAAGTACATGTATAATTTACATTAAAAGTGGGACTAGTAGATTCAGTTCTTTTAGGGTCATCTTAAAGGTTAGTGGGACAATTTTAGCCTCTGTTCGGTCGAAACAGCACAGAAGCTATTGAGAGACGGCTAACAAGGGCCGACGGACTGGTGTATTATAAGTGCGCACAAACTTGTAGATGAAGTGATGTAAGATGGTGCTCTGAAATAACTTGCCATAGTGGGATTGAAAGATACATTCGGGGACGTGCGTCGTGAGACGGTGACCAGAATTCTGAAGTGTTTTTTTTTTTTCAATTAGGAAGGATTACTTACGTGAGCTTTTAAAACTGATCAACTTTCAGAATAACCTCAAGGCTGCAGGATTTTGTGGCGATCTAAAAAAACTCTCGGTTAAAAAAGAGGACATCTTAAGCTATTTGGATTTATTCCATTGAATTCCGATTCAATTAAAAAGACAAATATATTTTTTTAAACACACAAACAGAACATGGTCTATATTCAAATGCAAAATTGTATGAGTCCCATATCGCATCTTTTTAATAATAATAATATAAATGAACAAAGGATTTTCCCTAAATGGAGAGTACACAGCTTGAAGTTTGGAAATCCTACAGGGAAATACAACGGTGTGCTAGATTAGAAATTAATTTAGAAGATAAAATGGGTACCGTAACTCAGGGTCAGAGCGCCAGATGATCAAAAGGCATTGGTTTGGGTAAGGCAGCAGGAATGAAGTCAGAAAACACCGCTCTTGTCTTTTTCGGTACTCCTTCTTCTAAATAATTACTTGGCGCTACGCGAATGACTGTGAGGGCCTAGATTAAGCCTAAGGGCATGTCTTGTGACCTGCTGAGTGAACGCCTTTCCAGTAAAACTATAAAACATTTTCACACCGAAAGCTGTTGGGTTTTTTGGTACAAAGTTTGAACAGGGCGTAATTAACTGCAGGATGAGTGCAGCGAAGGATATAATGTGTACGATTTAAAAAAATGTTTTGATACAAAAATGCCCCGAAAATCAATGGAAGAAATCCGAATTACTCAGGAAGCAACTTTTTTATTGAGTGCGGTTTTTGCAGTTTGCGACAATGACTCTCACACAAAAGCCGAAAGTCTGGTGCAAATGAAGTACCTTGAGATTATTTTGAAGGATTATTAGTATTACGCACTCCACGTTAAAGTTGGAAAGCATTTTTAAAACCAAAATCTATTCGTTTTTTGGTGCAAATTTTCAACAGGACATAACTTACTACAGAATGAGTAGAAGAAAGGATAGTTGTGTATGCTTTTTTATAAAATACGTTTTGATTTAAAATGGTATCAAAAATCAATGGAAGAAATCCGAATTACTTAGGTAATCCTCTTTTATTGACTGCGTTTTTTTTTCAGTTAGCGACAATGACTCTTACACAAAAGCTGGAAGCCTGGGGTGAATGAAGTACTTTGGGATTATTTTGAAACATTATCAGTATTACAACACCATGTAAGTAATACTTTCTAATCTAAAACGCAATTCCAAAGTTCGGTTAGAGGTTCATTATACAGGGCACCTACAGTATGCTAATGATATAGAAATAGACCCTTAAACAGGATGCAGAGGCAGATTTGAAGAGAGCAGGGAAAAAAACAAAGATATCTATCGGGCACGTGATGTTTATCCGAGTGAAAATGAAACCCCTGGAGAAGCAGGAAATGGGTCAAACAACTAAAATTGTCCGTAACTGCCTGCTAAATTAAAGCGAAAGCCCGGGGGAAAATCAGGGAAACAGAGACTTGAGCAGAAGACGATGCGCCTTCAATAAGGCAGTATTAAAAAGAATTAGCTATTTTGCTGAATTCAGGCGACTAAAATGGCAAGTTTTCACCTATAAAAGACGCAATGTTTTTTTCAGGGGGAAGCAGCATACAACCACTATTCACGAACCTTTCGGCGCTTTGCTGGCATTCCGGCGATGTAGGCGTCACTGAGGCGGTACTCGGAAGAGTTCACATCCTCCGACGTCTCGTGCTCAGCTGGGAAGTCCGGAGAACTGGCGGTAGCAGCTGCAGCAGCAGCGCCTGGAGGATGTGCAGGTTGAGCGTTCATCGCAG